AAAGCTTTTATCTTATAGCTTGTTAGGTTGACATTTATTCGTTTGATTTTTGTTCATTAAGTAAACTTGTGATTGTTTTTGATTTTTGTTCATTAAGTAAACTCGTGGTTGTTTTATGTATCCAATTATCAACAGTTGTTCCCCATTTAAATAATTTTATTTTCCCCCATTAAATAGTATCTTTCAATCTCAATTAAAATACTAGTCTAACACTTTCCCTTCGTGCTATTTAAAATTCACTTCCAATTGGAGAATATTAGAGGAGAAATTTGGAAGAGATGTCACTAGCAGAAAATTAGGCCCTTCTTTTATATTTTCTTATCTACACATGTCTTAAACTCCTATTTGTAACCACATACCTATATCGTCTTATATGCCTATGAGTTCCTATATTCACCTACACACACATTCACAAACGATATATGTATATTTCCATCTTTACACATATACACCTGCAGAGAACGCACATCCACATGTCTCCATACCTGTCTCCATGTATACTTATACTTACATATATATATACACACACAAGGACATCTGCATATCCATACATAATACGCACATATATATATCTACACATCCATACGTATACACATATATACACATACATACACACCCCATATATGCATACGTACATACATATACATACACACACATATGCATACAAATCTGCAGAATATCTATATACCCACATATGCGTTAATTTGCACTTACATATATCTCTACCTACGTATTTGTCCCTATTCTCATGTCCACCTGTGCATCCACTTATGCCTGCGTTCGAAGACTATCTCATATTTTAATTACATTATCTGTGTTTTACATATATATATTACCCGATCTTTCATATTTATGGCAAAACATATAAGTACCTAACTAATTGTACATCTCCACACTCACAAAAAAACAAAAAAAAAACAAAACTGGTATGTTTCTTTTTCCGTATAAAAACATATACATGTACATATCAACAGGTGTCTCAGTGTGCAAATACATTATCATAGTTGTATACATACAGTCATGTGTTAGCGTCCACGTGTGCATAGTAATATTTCTAAAAACAAAGGGAATATAAAACATTCAAAATTGCTGTTCCTATATGATTATTTCTTAGTGTGCTTGCTTAGGTTTAGGTTGTTTTTGTGTCGGCATTTAAAAACTAGTTCATTGTGTTTATTTAGTAGTATGTCTGGATCCTTATGTTTGATTATGAAGATTTTCTCCTTCAGACATAAGTTGCATCTGTCTCTGAAGTTTTTGGGAGTTCTGGCTCTTGATATTATTCTCCACTTTATTTGTGGTGTTAGGCCATTCTCCAATAAAGACCAAAAATGATTTGATAGTGCTGTTTGTTTTTTTTTACATTTATTTTTGAAGGATTGGCGATGGTTGTATAGTCGGTGTTTCCAATCTCCCGCTGATATTCCAATGTATATCTTTTTCTCTTCAACCTTTTCTTATATATATATATATATATATATATATATTATAAATTAATTGATTTAAAATATTTTTTTCGCTACACAGTTCTAACCATGTTTCAAAAATGGAAGCTAAGAGCTACGAATTTAATTTTGTTCCATTCCATCCTCAAGCGAATTTTGGAGTAACTTTTAAAATTACTGGGTTTTAAAGACACAGCTAAAATCACGTTTCCATGGTTACAGATAAATCTACTTCAACTGGACAAGGGTTGTCTGGGTTTTCCTTATGTCTGCATCATTGTATCGGTTATTAGCTACATTTTGGTAAGGGGTAGGGATGTATTTTTCAATGAGAACTGACATCCGTTGAATAGCACTATTTTGTAAAAATAAAAATATCTATAAGAACACCGGATTATATATCTTACTGTTCTTTCTTTATATATATATATATATATATATATATATATATATATATATACGTTTCATTAAATAATATAGACAAGTGTTGTCTATTTATTTTATGTAAATTTTGTTCGTAACATCTGATAAGTTTGATAACATTATCATTAAACGAAGAAAGAAATTCACAATATTGATCCATATTTTTTAATATAATCTAAGCTTTCGGCTTACTTAAGCCATTATCAAAGATGTAAATTACAAACATATTAAACAATATACGGACACGACAGTGATGATAGTCTGTCATTGTTTACATAGATAATCTCTAATCAAATGCATACTAATTATAAACAAGATGAAAATATACAAAAAAAATTAGTAAATTCTAATATATCAACTACAGATCATAGCAAAAAAATTAAATTAATCATATACTACACTAAATCTAGTATATCCAACTTAATACTTCGCAATGATTCTTCTCCCCAGTTAGCGATTTTGCAAAAAACCAACATAGTTTTTATAAATTCAAGTGCCCTTTGGGAGAGTGTATCTCCAACGAATTAAATAATATTTATTTGGTCACACCACAAACTCGCTTTCACGACGCTTGACACTACATTTTAATGAAAACTCTAACATTTCTAGGCATTTAAAACAACATGCCTGCCCGCACACACAATTCCGTAAAATACTTGTCGAAAACACAACTATACTTCGACAAAAAACAATGGACAAAAAACTAAAAATACTTGAAGCATTATACATCAAACAGTTAAAACCCAACCTAAACAAAATCAATTATGGCATCTCTACAAATAATCTTAAAGGTCTATAATTGGTAACAGAAGCCATTGGTTTATACCAACGGCTTTCCTAACTTCATTTTCCAATTCACTCTCGTGTAGTCATGTGTGACGTCATGAGATGCGGTGCGATTTTCGCTTCTAGCGTCTTATATGCGCGTGTTTATCGTTGCTTAGAGATTATCTATGTAAACAATGACAGACTATCATCACTGTCGTGTCCGTATATTGTTTAATATGTTTGTAATTTGCATCTTTGATAATGGCTTAAGTAAGCCGAAAACTTAGATTATATTAAAAAAATATGGATCAATATTGTGAATTTCTTTCTTCGATTAATGATAATGTTATCAAACTTATCAGATGTTACGAAAAAAAATTTACATAATATAAATAGACAACACTTGTCTATATTATTTAATGAAACGTGTATAAATGAAAATATGCTGCCTAAATACACACAATATATATATATATATATATATATATATATATATATATATATATATATATATATATGGTGTACTCTATGGTATTCCTAGGAACCGACTACCCAGACATCAGCACATATGATTTGATTATAGTGGTGAAGGCTTACTAAAACGACTGACAAAGTATTGTGGTTACGTTTTTCATTTTTTTGTCACTGTTGTTTGGAAGTAGAATATTTCCTTGGTATAAATTTAAAAGCTTTTTTCAGTAATTCATTTGTCTGTGGTTAAGTTCGTCATCGTAAATACTTAAGTTGATATGGTGTTGTGCTTCATTATATTCGGGTTCAGTCAAGGTGTTTTTAGTATCGCATTATCTTTTTGGATTTCATTATTTAAATGTTGCATTTCATTTTTAGCTGTTGTTATTTGTCGTAAATCAAGTTTTTTTTTTTTCTGAATGTTATTGTGTTGCCTTCCTAGTTGCCAGCCGGTCATATAATTTAATAATTGTGTGTTTGGGCAGATTATTACATACTTCTTTCAACCACCCTCTATATATGACTTCTGGCAAACACACATACAAAGTTCACAAAGTTAAAATTCGTAAACTTAAGGAATCAGCACATATTCTAGGCCACAAAAATCACCTGAGCCGACCAAGTATAAAAATGAATACATTGGAAGCAGTAATAAGGAGTTCAAGAGAAAAGCGATAATAACAACAAAAGTTGCAATATGAGCTTTGGTAAAAACATGCAATGAACACAGCAAAAATTGCAATATGACCACTGGTAAAAAATGATTGCTGAAGACATTAGGTTTATAATACCCAGAAATTCATACACAAGGACACATGGCACAGTGGATAAAGGCTTTGGTTAGATCCAGTGACATAACCCAAAGAGTGTGAGTTCAATACCCGGTTAAGGCAGAGGGAAATTAACAGGAGATAACTGATAACTGACATCCATTAAACATGGCAAGTGGAACTAGAACAGTCTACCCCAGTGAGCGAAATAAAGAGTCCAGTTCGACATTCCAACCAACTGAAGCATACGACGGCTGAAACGTTGTAATAAATATGGCGACAAAGATGAGGACATTATTACTGTTGCTGCGGAATGGATTATTTCCCTGATATATGTAAAGAAGTTTTTTTTAGTAATTATTGATCCGAACTTAACCGAAACAAAATATAATGCAGCACAATAACATATCAACCTAAGTATTAATAATGACGAATTTAAACACAGACAAATAATTATCAAAAAAAGCTTTACAACTGATACCAAAAATTATTCTAATTCCCAAATACACAATTATATATATATATATATATATATATATATATATATATATATATATATATATATATTTTAAAAAAAAATGATTCCTTCGTAACATAAGTGTTCTCATGTTTCAAAAACAGGAGCTAAAAACTTCAAGCGAAATTTTCCCAAAATTTCGCTTGAAGATGAAACAAACCTTGATACTTTAATTCAATTTAATTTTCATAATTAAATTGAAGTTTCTATCTCCTGTTTTTGAAACATGAAAATTCTTATGTAGCGAAGGAATCATATTTAAAAAAAAATAATTATAATTTAGGCTCTACTTGTGTATTGAGCACGGCTTTTTTAAAAATAAAAACAAAAATACTTCGGAGTATTAACCTAACGTGTTCTTTTCTTATTTTTCTATATATTTGCACACACACACACACACATACACACACACACACACATATATATATATATATATCTTTATTATTATGAAACTCTGTGAACTTTGTCTGCTTGTGTGTTTGCCAGAAGTCATATACAGAAATTGGTTGAAAGAAAGATGTAAATTTATCGTGTAAGAAGTGCGGGGAGAAGAAAGTAGTGCGTGTTCGTCTCAGATGGTGACCTAATTTTACATCCGTTACATTTATGCCCGCTTTTCACCTCTCTCTTCACTACTCTTTCTCTTTCTTTTCACCTCTCTCCCTCTTTCCCCTTCACTCTTTCTTTTCACTTCTCTCTTTCCACCTCTCTCTCTTTCCACCTCTCTCTCTTTCCACCTCTCTCTTTTCCCACCTCTCTTTCCACCACTCTCTCTCTCCATATCTCTCTCTTTCCACCTCCCTCGCTCTTTTTCCACATCCCTGCCTCTTTTCATTTCTCTCTTTCCACCTCGATTTCGTGTGTGTTTCTTTATATTTCAGCTTCCTTTAAACAAACAATATTTTAAATATTTAAAAAAAAATTTTTGCCATAATTTTGAAGTGAATATGGTTTTAAAATATTTTTTGGCATATTAAAAAATATTTTCAAGTGAATATGATTTTAAAATATTTTTTGCTATATTTAAAAAATATTTTCAAGTGAATATAATTTTAAAATACTTTTTGGCATATTAAAAATATTTTCAAGTGAATATGATTTTAACATATTTTTGGCATATTAAAAATATATTTTTACGTTAATGTGATTTAAAAAATATTTTAAGTGAATAAGATATATATATATATATATATATATATATATATATATATATATATATATATATATATATATATATATATATATATATATATAGAGAGAGAGAGAGAGAGAGAGAGACAGAGACAGAGACAGAGACAGAGAGACAGACAGACAGACAGACACACACGGTGGAGTAATGGATAGTGGCTTGGATTGAGGAATTGCAGAGCCGAGTTCGAATTTCACTCGAATCCATTACATTCACTTACGTGCTAATAGCCTTGGGAAAGGTATGAATCCTCTTCCTCTCCCTCCAGCTATGGGTAAAATAGCAGGACAGACTGGATTCTATAGCCTTGGATGGCAACTGGTCTAGGAGAAGGACAACTCTGAATTCAAAAACTGCGGAGGGTCGTTTGGGAACTTTGTGGCACTTAGTTCACCCTTCAAAAAGTGTGGATGGTCCTGCACGAAGCCTTCACCACTATAATCGAATGTCATGTGCCAGTGTCGGGCTGTCAGTTTCCTGGAAACTGATCTGCTTGACCCTCATACGTCGAATTTCGATGGGAGAGTCGACTATATATATATATATATATATATATATATATATATATATATATATGAAAAGTGTATATAAATATAAATAAATATATATATGTATAATTATCTATATATTATATAAATATATATATGTATAATTATTTATATATTATATGCGCGGTACTTATTTGTCTGACGATCGCTAAAGCGTGAAACCCAGGATCACAAACTCACATCTATCCAACCAAATATATATATATATTTATATATATATATATATATATTTCATTAAAACGACAGAAAAGGTAATACAGTTACTAATAAAAATCAAATTAATTATCTACTAGAAAAAAATTTAAAACAGCTAACCTTATCCTCAAAAATAACAACACACCAGAAAAGGCAAAATTACAAAGAACGAACATTATCTATGAGTCGCAAATGTTCCTTAAGGAACTGTGTTCCTGATCAAACCGAATTCATAAATAATTACATCGATCATACGAATACATGCCTATCCAAACGCCTTACGTTACACCTATCTGACCACAGCTCTATTAGAATCCATTTAAAAACACACACAAACTTACCAGACTCAATCCGAAATATACTAGTAGAAAATAAAAACGTAATAACCTCATCCACATGTAAAAAAGATTAAAAATGGTGGAAGTCTTAATAATAAAAAAGAAAAAAAAACAACTCTTAAGAATATTAACTACGAACACGGCCACATGTACTGTGTTAGGAAAATAAAACATCCCTATAACTTCAGAAACATACACAGAACCCATATACCCAATTAAAAAGCAAAAATAAAAGCATTCTTGATAATGGCTAAAAGTACAGCCGAAAACGCTTGGAATTATAGAATATTGGAACAGTTTCTACATACTCCGTGTCCAAAAAAAGAAAAGACTTGTCTGTCGTCTTTAATAAAATATGTATAAATGAAGGATTGCTGCCTAAATACACACACACACACACATATATATATATATTAAAAGACATTTTATGTTTAACGTTGTTTATTTTATAGATACAAGTATTTAAGCAAATGCTCTGTTTATGATAAACAGTATTAAATAACATTTTGACAGATTCGAACCTGAATGTCAAAGGACGAATTTTTCTATGAAAATTTTCGTCCATTCAGGCCGGTAAATGTTATTTAACCTGTTTATCATAAACAGAAAGCATTTGCTTAAATACTTGTATCTATAAATAACAACGTTAAACATAAAATGTCTTTAATAAATAAATTGTCGGACCTTGTCCATTTCTTAATATATATATATATATATATATATATATATATATAAGACATTTTTTTTTTTTATTGGGAGAGGGGTGAGGAAAAGATCTATGCTTGCTCATGTGCAAATAGAAAGCATCTATGCGCACTCTGTTACCGCTTAAACTAAATCGGTAGACGTGCTCTCGGGTGTGCACTTTTGTGTAAACCCGAGCAAATGTACCTCTGTAGTAAAGTGGGCACGCCCAACAAAGCAAAATACGCTCTCTCTCTCTCTCTCTCTCTCTCTCTTTTGCCCTCTCGTTCTCATTTTCTTTCTTCTCCCTATCTCTCCCTTTTTACTCTCACTCTTCTACAAATTGGCACATGTAGTCAAATTCTCAATCTCGTACCTGTCTCCTTTCCCAATTGCACTTTCTCGCTCTCTCTTTCCCTTGGCACATTGAGGCCATTGCCAAGCACACTCTGTTTGCTTTCCTTCCATTTTTATTCTTACAGGCTGACACTTACTCGGCTTCTCTCTCTCTCTATATATATATATATCTGGCTTAGTACAAAAGGAAGACATTTCTATCGTAAGTGATTTCACAGAGATTTTTTTTTTAAATCATGATGCTCCCCCCCTGTCATAATATAATTCACAACGATTAAGCTGAATAGAAATTCAACACACACGCACGCACACACATACACACACGCACGCGCACACACACAAACTAAATATATCCATAAAAAGGTTAATTTCTGTGTGTATACCTGTTTATAAACAAGCATGTTATTGTGTGAATGAGACGGTGAGAGAGACAGAGACAGACAGAGAGAGAGTAGGGGAGAGAATAGGAAAGAGTAAGAGACAGAACAGGAGAGAGAGAGAGAGAAAAGGCAGAGAAGAGACGGTGAGAAAGATAGAGAGAATGGGAGAAAGAAAAAGTAGAAAAAAGAGAAAAAAGAAAATAAGAGAGCAGGAAGAGTAGGAGAGAGAATGAGAAAGTGAATAAAGGTTGAGAGTGTAAGATTGAGAGTGAGAGGGTAAAAAAGAGATGAAGAGAGAGATTAGGAGAGTGACTTAAAGAGACAGAGAATAAGAGAGTGTTTCACAGAGAAAGAGTAAGAGGGACGGTAGGAGCGAGAGTAAGGAAGAAAAAAAGAAATAAAATGCGAGAGAGAGAGAGAGAGAGAGAGAGAGAGAGAGAGAGTGATGGATAGTAGGAGGCAGAGAGTAGGAGGCAGAGAGTAAGAGACTAGAGGAGAGAGTGAATATATAAGAGAGACGGAGAAAGAGAGAGAGAGTAGAAAAGAGAGTTGAAAACTCTTTCGCTTACCATTTTGACAATATTCCAGTAACGAAGGACCAATAATATCAGTAGAGAAGCACATCCAACTGGTGGCTGAGGCAGTTGCGTCTTTGTCTAGCGGAGCCTAAAGCGTTACTACGGCTTGTATGACATTAAAATGGAAGTTTCCGATGCACCTATTTTACAAGTACAGACTTGTCTGTTAACTTTTTCAGATCAGTGTACGAAATCTTCACTGTAAATCAGACTCGTTGAAACACCGGTTCCCGTACGATCACCGAAGTTAAGCAATGTCAAGCCTGGTCAGTACCTAGATGGGGGCACCGCTTAGCAATACCAGGCGCGCGAGGCATAGATGTGCTGGTGGTGTAATGGATAATTCCCATTTGGTTCGTTATATTCATTGACGCACAAATACCCGTAGAAAAAGTATCAATCTACCTCTTCTCCTCCCAGCTATGGGTTAATTAGTAAGACTTGTATCACTAAACCATTATTATATCAAAAAAAAAAAAAAGAAAAGAAGAAATCTTACAATCTAAAAATATTTTCTAGCTTTAAATAACGAGCAAAGGGTTGATAAACCGTAAAAAACGAACGAATCAAATCAATCCAGCTTCTGGGTAAAAAAAAAAAAAAAAAAATCTACAACTGGACCGGAATTCGAACTCGGCTCTCCAATTTCTTATCCCGAGCTATTATTCATTATACTACTGCTGATTCATATGTTTCGGTGAGAGTAATAAAAAATCCCTTTTCAATCATTCTCCACATGCAAACACTACCACTCACACTCATATACATACATACATACATACATACATACATACATACACACACACACACACACATATATATATATATATATATATATACATATATATATATATATATATATATATATATATATATATATACATACATATATATATATATATATATATATATATATAAAAAAAAAGAGGGGTGCCGCAAACGTTTTTGGTTGTAATGTGGATTTATTGAGAAAAATATTATACTTTGTTTTACATAATTTCACGACACGTGTTTCTGGTCTGGTCTCGCAACCGTCTTCAGGTGAAAGTGGAGCCACATTACAACCAAAAACGTTTGCGGCACCCCTCTTCTTTTTAATATACATACTTTTCTCTCGTTGGAACCACTACAACATATTTCTTTTATATATATATATATATATATATATACAAATTATAATACAAATATTAAATATTTGTCGGATTTTCCATTTCCTGTGATACGTTGTCATTGCTTATGTTAGGTTACAGAATAAGAGCAGAACTGATAAATCGAGAAAGATCAGAGAAAGTGTGCGTTTAAAGCAGTAATTCGAGCTCTGTGGATGAGCGGTCATAGCACATCGGGATAAGTGGCGGTTCTCTCTCTCTCTCTCTCTCTCTCTATATATATATATATATATATATATGTATATATAACATCGTGCCATGTGTTTTTAACAGTAGGGTTTAATACTAAGGGCCTGTACATTCGAGATATCAATCATAGAACATCAGGATAAATGGCGATACATATATATATATATATATATATATATATATATATATAAATAAATAAATATACATATACGTGCAACATGTTCATATTTATATATATATATATATATATATATATATATATATATATATATAAATAAAAGTGAACATAGAAGTCAACACTTAGAGGTGACAGTCTGTTTCATGCTATATGCAATCGTCAGGCCACGTGGGCTGTTATTTTTCTCGGCTATTTATACATATACGGGTCAGTGGTGCATTGTGGGTAGTCTATTACGGCGGTTATTTTACCGGAAGTCGTTTATTTATTTATTTGGGTTAAATTATTTTGCTTGTTTTTATTTAATTTTATGTTTTGTTTCTTATTTTATTTATTTATTTACTTATTTTGTAATCGGTGTTTTTATTAACGTAGTAAAAAATTTGTTTATATCACTTATTTAATAGTTTTGTTTTGAGAATTTAATTAAAGCTATTTGTTCGGTTTTGGGGTTGATTGTTGTAGTTTATTCTAACTATTATTTTGGCAGGAACAGTTTTTAATTTGTGTTTATTTAGATTGATTATCTTTATATGTTTTTTTCTAACGGTAACTTTATCGGGATTGGTTAGTTTATTTATTTACTTGGATGAATTTAGGTCAATTTATTTTACTTGTATATTTTCTCTTTTCGGTTTTTCGATTTTTAAGTAACGTAGTATTTATTTATTTATTTATTTATTTTTTTTATTTTATTTTATTTTTTATTTTATTTTATTTTATTTTTTATCGTTATATAACAGTTATAGCTATTTTTTTCGTCCGATTTTTTCGTTTGATTTTTTTAGTCTAACTAATATTTTGGTTTGCTACTTTGTTTATTATTTACTTTATTTATTTGGGTTCGTTGTGGCCTGACGATTGCATATAGCAGGAAACAGACTGTCGCCTCTAAGTGTGGACTTCTATGTTCACTTTTATATTTACACACGCTCTATCTCTGATATTGAGCACTTTATCCCATAAATATAGCACACCTTAAGACTAAATTTCTTCTATATATATATATATATATATATATATATATATATATATATATATATATATATATATCCTTTGGTGTAAGTAAAACAGTGCTAAATGCAAAATGATAGAACTATTAAGTATATATTAATAGATAGATAAATATGTAGGTAGGTACGTACGTACGTATGTACTTACTCGTGTTTGAGTAGATGCCATATGTTTTTAACAGCAGGGATTAATTCTAAGGGTCTGTACATTCGAGGATTTTATCAAGGATGATGGGTCCTCTGGCAGAGTTGGCAGCTGAGCCCCCTTTTGTAAGGGAAACCACCGTCGTATATTGGGATCAAGCGATGGTTTCTCTCACAAAATGGGACGAAGTTCGAACTCTGCAGGAGAATCAGATTTTCTTTCCAATGCGCATGTCGGTTGACTTAATTTCCACTGTTAAAAAAAGCAGAACTTCTAGTCAAAGAAGTCAGCTGCTTTGTATCGAAACAGTCCGGGTTCGAATCTCAGTAGTGGGTGCGCACTGCTGATGAAGTCCCAAATAGGACAAAAAGACCGTCCAGTGCTTTCTGCATTCTGTTGATGATTCTTCTTGACTCGATGAATTACTATAATGATTTGCCTAAATCCCTCAAAATGCTATTACTTGCATATATATATATATATATATATATATATATATATATATATATATATAATGAATAAAAATATTGTCCACCAGTGAATGCTAGGTCTCAGAAGACAAATCCATGTTCATAAAAGTTGGGAACCTCTTTATTTTACTGAGCCCTCCTTCCAATTTCGTGTCTTTGATACTTGTCAGGTGAGAAATTTTCAAAGAACAACGCACCTCTGAAAACAGTGAGTTTTTTTTTTTTAAAAAAAGCAAGACAACATCGAAAAAGATGGAAAGGTAAGGGAAAGTCTTTTTGAAAGCATTTCTACCTTATTTAAAGAAAAACAAAAAAAACAAAAAAAACAACTGTTTGACCTTAAATGATCTCTTGCTGATCGATGGGTCGTTAAGTTTTAAACAAACAAACAAACAAAAATGTTGCTGTTTGCATAAAACTCAGAGGAAAAATGTATATTTATTAGAAATATTTTAATATTTAATTATATATATATATATATATATATATATATATATATATATATATATATATATATATATACTGTACGACATATATTGTACGACAAAGGAGGGCTCAGTAAAATAAAGAGGTTCCCAACTTTTATGAACATGGATTTGTCTTCTGAGACCTACAGGTGTTTTGCAAACTTTTAGACACGTGGAACATGTGGTTGAGCGATTCTTCTCGTGTGTTTGAGGATCAATTGCCACATGTTTCCACAAATGGACAGCAGGACCTGCTTTACTCCTTGCGACAAATCAAAAGTGGCAGGTTTGTTTGTTTGTTTAGCGGCACATCAACTCCTTATGGGTCATTTTAAGCCGAATTTTAATTTCCTTGGGAGCATTAGTAATTTCTTTTATATAAAAAAAATGTTTTGCTGGCAATTTTTTTTCCAAAATATATTACTAGTAATTTTCTTAACTATGAAAATATATTTCTGGTATTTTTATATAAAAATGTATTTTTATACTTTCATAGTGTTTTGACACCAGTTTGGGGGTTAACTATTTGACCATAGCTGGGACCCTAACAAATGCTACCATCCTGGGTCAGGGTGGATCTGGGAACAGCAGCAGTTAAGAGGTGGTTCTACGCTCCTTAAAAACCTGCCGATCAGATGTCTTGCTACCAGATGTAGTTTATCGTCATACCCAGGACATACAGTGGCACTTAAGTCTATCATTGAAAGTAGTAGAACGCTGACAACTTTCTTTAATACCTGCTCGCAGTTTGATCCCGATGTTTGCCCAAACCTTTGTATAGATGAGAAATAGGACAGGTGCCAGTTCCTTCGTTATGACGTTGTTTTCCCAGGAATAACGTGTGATGCTTTATCGCTTCAGATTGTCTTTGAGTTTGTCTTTGCAACGCAGGAGCGGCCTTCCAAATGACTTCCTTGTTAGAAGATGGCCAAAGAGAAGCAGTCCAGTCCAAGGTCGAAAGTTTTAAAATCAAATTCTAAATAGAGCCAAAGCGTTAGTGCCTACTATTATAAAAGGCTCCGAGGTCATATCAGCCACGTCGGATAAGGCGAAGCAGTTTGCTACGATCTTTGCATTTAACTCAACGTTAGGTGGCAAAGGCCATCTCCTTCCCGACTACCCCGAGCATTTCACTGAGCATAATTTCGGTAATATTTTTATTACAGCCCGCAAAGTCTAAAGATTTATCAAAAGTCTTGACCCTAAGAAGGCTAAAGAAAAAATCCCAGTGGTTGGTCTCAAGAATATTAATCCCTGAATTATCCCCAATCTTAGAGAAATTATTTAACTGCTACTTGAAAGAGAAATCCTTCTCAAATCAGTGACAGGTGTCAAGCGTATGCCCTTTTTTCAAGAATGTGGGTGATCGCCCATTTCCATCGCAAATATTGACCCATCAGTCTTTTCAATATCATTAGCAAGCTGTTATCTTTAAGAAGGTTCTTGATCACCTCTATAGGGAAAACCACTTGAGCCACAAGCAATCCGACCCACGGCTGATATCCTGTCATTAGTCACAGAATCAGTAAAGTACAAGACAACAAATACCTTTTAAGGACGATCGGATTAGATATTTCAAAGGTCTTTGGCAAAGTGAGGCATAAAGTGTTACTGCACAAGCTCTCTAGCCCATGAAATCACTAGAGGTGTCTTCTCTATAATCAAGTCCTTCCT